AAATTTTTGGCGGGAAAAATTTACAGGGTATTTTAAAGGTTTTACGGAGTATTTACAAGTGTTTTGTAAGGTTTTACAATGTATTTTAAAAGGTTTTACAAGGTACTTATAAGGTTTTATAAGGTATTTATAACTTGTAAAACCTTATAAAAAACTTGTAAAACCTTATAACTTGTAAAACCTTATAAAATAGCTGTAAAATCTTATAATATCTCATAAATACCTTATAAATACGTTGTAAAACCTTTTAAAATACATTGTAAAACCTTATAAATACCTTGTAAAAAACCTTTAAAATATCTTGTAAATTTTTCCCGCGAAAAATTTTCCCGCCAAAAATTTAACGCCAAAAAAATTGCGGAATCACTTTTCCCGCAAAAAAAAAAATTTTGGCGGGAAAAAATTTTACGAGAAAATTTTACAAGGTATTTAAAAGGTTTTACAAGTTTTTACAAGTGTTTTGGCGGGAAAAATTGCGGGATCACTTTTCCCGCCAAAAAATATTTTGTATTTTGTGGACCTAATTTTGTTATATTTCCTTATATATTTGTGATATCTTTTATTTAAAAAGGGTAATTTAGTCATTTTGTACATAAAAATGAGCATTTTTAAAAATAGACAGTCAAATGGGACATTTTTAAAAAGGGGTATTGAAAAAGAAGTATTTTTGTGAGTCTCTCTTAAAATTAGTCGCAAGTAAAAGAATAAATAATGAAAGAAAACCTTCTTCTTTGCACTATACATTTCCCACTTCAATTGAAATAATGATGGTTCATTGCGTCAATCGAGTCAAACTACAATACTTTCCGTTAGAATCGTCATTTGCTCGTTTTCGTTTCTCCAATATATAATTTCACAATTGTTAAGTCTTATTATTTTCTATTCTACATAAAACTGGTTGTAATACATATCAAGACCAAAAAAAACATATATTATGATAATATGTAGCGTAATCAAGTTTTCTTCACCTTCATTAAATTTGCATAAGGACTTGGGAGATATAGTTTTACTAAATTATTTTCAAAATTCAACGAATAAGCTAACAATCCGGTGTGATACAAAATGTATTAGAACATTTTAACCAATCGTATGAGATAATTAAAATAGGTTTCAGAATATATATAATTCCCATTTGCTTGACAATGACTTTACCGCATGCTAACCTTCTAGTGGATCATGAGACATGAGGTACAAAATCCATGACCAATCCATGATAATTTAATGATGCATATATAAGTTAAGTTAATTATGGAATTGCAAAACTAAACTACAATGATGGTAACAAAGATGGGAAAGAAGAAAAAAGTAGAGAGGAACGTCATTGTCGGGAATAAAGAGAATAATAAAAGGATGAGTTAAGGGAGAAGAGTACTAAACTGTCGGCTACTTGACCCAAATCCTATCTCAAAGTTAAGGATGACCAGTTCATCTTTGGTCCCTACTTCACACTTCCCTACATTTTCAAAGTTTAAACTTGTTATTTTATCATATATTTGTTTTTGTTTTTGATCAAAAATCTCATGTGTTGCAATGGTCATAGTGTTTTGTCTTGGGGTACATAGAAATCCTAACTGTATTATGGCTTGATACTTGTCTTATAACTCAAAATTCTAGATTTGTATTGGTTTTGACGGCGTGTATGCTTAATTCTCTAAATTTGAGGTATTTATGGTATTTTTTTTTATTATTATCGGAAATGCATTTCAAAAAAAAAAAGAGATTTCAAGAGTTTGTATATATGTATTTAAAAATAATTTGACAAATACTGTGTTTGCTTACCAAAAAAATGGATAGTACAAAAAATAGATGATAAATGTATTGTGGCATATTATTGTTTTTTTTATTTGGTTCATGTGTTTTTGTGGGTTATTCATTGCATCTTTCTCCTTTCATTCCATTTTTAAAATATGTTTTTGATTTGTAACATATTTTTTTATGTCGTGGTGTGATCCGTATTTCGGTCTGATTTCGGTTTGTCTTACTAGTAATTAGTAAATATCACATAGACAATAAAATATATAGCCATTCCTGTTTGTCTTTTCTTTTAACTTGCTTTCAATTACTGTAATCAAGGATTATGTTGCAAGCAAGTTATATAATATACACACCAATATTTTACATTAAGCAAATCGTGCTCCTCCATATTTCAGTTAAATATACGTTAACGATAATAATTGTAACCACTAGCCTTGACTAGTTGGTGACTAAAAGTTATAATGTGGATTGTGATGGGAGACTAGTTACACAAAAGAACATCCATGAGAGTTCTGAAACCGTATACATGTCTAGATTAAAAAAAAAACTTAATAAAGTAAACAGAGTTTATAAATTTATTTAATATATAAATGTGGCCGAAATCATGACGGTCAAAACCTCGTCCTTTCTTTCTTTTCTTTGCGTTTGAGAGAATGTGGCCGAGAATTTCTGTGATCGATGAATATTTCATTAAAAAAAAAAACAATGTTGCCGAAATATACCACTTTTCTACACTTTTTATCAGTGTGGATTTAAAACTTCTCAATGTGAGTACATGAATGACAGAAAAAAACAATCAAAAGGTTATGGAGTAGATAGACTAATGGAAACATTAGGAAATCATATTAAATATAATTAAGTAAAGAATATAACATATTCCCATCATTTCAAGAAAATTGATTTATTTATCCTATTCACTAATTTTCTATGATATTTTCATAGTTAGTACTTAGTAGACTACGTGTTTTGTAGCTAACTATCCATTTATTATATTAGTTTGGTTTCATTATTAGTGGCCACATATGTAGACAATCGGCTTAAAGTAGATATAATTTTTTAGATTCATATAGTAATAGTAGTACTATCAAAACAACACCGAACAAAAACACTTAACAAATTCACAAATCTAAATCTCCTATCTCTCTTCATCCACAAGTCTTTCAACACGAGTCAACAAGCCATAGTGACACATATAAAGATATTTTTATGTAACAAGTTAATAAGAACCATATAATATACAAACGGTACAACAATAAAAATCTACGTGAACACTTTTAATTATTTTGTAGGACATATTGTTCAGAGCCTCATTCAAAACTGATATTAACTATGTACCGAGTCCACCATAAGACCCTGCTCGTAACCGTAGCTGATCACAACCCATTTCTGATTTCTTCACAGTATTCTGCTACAATCAGCTCTAGCGAAACCAACTCTCCTATTGGTCACATCAAACTCAACCCAAAGATTTTGTTGATGAACGTTCCCGATTATATTACTAGCTGCTCCAAGCATACTTGACCGTCCGATTCCAACGCAATGAATCCCATCTCCTACGTTAACCAAAACCCTCTCTTTCGGAACAAGTATCTCAACTCCTCTAGTGAACTGAAACACAAGATCTCCTATCAACTTTTGTCCCAATGGGTTTTCCTGGTAAGGTTTTAATGAGGCAGCATCCCCAAGCGTATTACTGAGATCCTTTGGCATCTACACGTGTCACTATCTCTTCTCTTGTTATAAACCACATGTTGGATGGACTCCATAACCGTGGACCTTATGCATATTCTAGAAGGCCCATGTCCATGTCCTAGAAGGCCCATGCCCATATTCTTGAAGATTCTCCTTATGACGGCCTATATTGTACTTAGTGGGCTTTTGGGCTTTAGGGTTTACTAGCCCAATGGGGATTTGTCTCCCCTCATCATGTATATATATGTATCGAAATCTCATTCATTAATCAATAGAACAACACAGTTTACAACACGTTATCAGCACGACTTGCTCTTAACGAAAACCCTAAAACCCTAACCCTAAAAATCGCGGCACTGTTCATCACCGACACTGTTCATCTCGGTACTGTTCATCGCCGTACTGTTCATCGTCGACACTGTTCATCGCCGACACTGTTCATCGCGGCACTGTTCATCAAGATTCGGCATTCGTTGACTTTCAGGAAATGTCAACAAAGAAACGTATTTGAATCCTTTAGAATTCGGGTTATCTCCGAGGTAAAACGAACCGGTTGGAGTAAAACCGGGCCGGTTTGATTTAGGAGGGATACAATAAGAGAACTTTGTAATCTTAGCTTGAGAAACAAAAGAGAGACGACCACGATTCATTCCCAAAATACCCCTATCATCAGAAGACTCAGTAGCGCAACCAAGAATCAAAGGAGGGGTAATTTCGGTATTTGAGAAAGTGATTTTTTCTTTGACGAGATTACCCTCAGCGAAGGTTCCATCAGCGTAGAAGTAAGAGTAATGACATAACCGGTTGGAGTCACAAGAAGTAGGAAGGGTAAAATCGGGAATTCTTGGTTTACAAAGAGGATGAGAGCAAGGTAAAGTAGAGAAAGAAGAAGAAAGAGATGGATCAAAAGATGTTTTAGGTTTTGGAGGAAGCTTTTTACGATGACATTGAATCCAAGAAAGTTGGCTTCCGGTATCAAGAACCATTTGTTGAGCTTGTGGTGGTGTTCCTATGGGGAGTGAGATGATTAAAGCCATTGAGTATTTGAATCTTGATCGGAAGTTGTATGGTGGAGACGACGGAGATGGGTTTTTCCGGGAGAGGAGAGAGGTGGTGAAGCGGTGAGAGTTTGTGGTGGAGGAGATAGGGAGAGATGTGAGTGGGAGGTGGAGGGAGAGTGAGGATGAGAGAGATACATAGTTGAAGAGGAAGAAGAAGAAGAAGAAGAGTGGTTTTGGAATGGGAGACATTTTTTGTCTTTTGAGTTTTTGTGGAAGTGAGAGAGATGATGGAGAGTAATGAAAGGTGACTGTAATATATATACACTTAAACACACACGTTTTCTTACTTAATTTTCAGGTTTATTTAATTTAATTTTTTTTTTGGGAATTATTTTTTGGAGTTTAAGGTTTTGTGTAGTTTACAGTAATTTTATAGGAGTTGACAAAAAATAAAAATAAGAAAACTGACAAACTGTTGCATTTTTTCATCTAAATTAATATTTTTAAAACACAAAATAAATTAATTATGGAGAGATATATAATAGAGTTTTTTTACATTAGATATTTAATATGTGTAATGTGTTTAAATGAAACTTTCTTAAACATGAAGGTAATAACTAGTACTATAAATTAGTATTAGGAGGGTGATTGCATGCATAACATCAGAGTAGTATTTTAAAAAATATAATTTAACGTTCATAATATCACAATTTTTACCAAATGATTTTTGTAGGCAACTAAAAAGAATTGAAAGATATATAAAATTAGAAAATAAGAATTCTTTCTACATCGGATCTAAAAATGTGGTCCAACACGTATTCTTGTATATTCTTAACTCTCTTCCAATGAAATATTGTTTTAAAACTTAGTATATATGAAAAAAAAAAAAACATTTTTAATTAGTGGCTACAAAATCGATTACAAGAGTTTCAACAAATGAAATTAGAGACTTTTCCCTATTACGCAGCTTGCGAACTTAAGAAAATTATCTCATACGCAGCTAGTGGATTTTTTTTCTTATATATATATAACAAATCAACACAGTGTTTTTTTTTGCCTTCCTTGAATATGAACTTCCCACATGTTTTGTATACCAGTTATACCTTCTTCGTATTTTTAGGCAATTACCAGTTATACCTTTCTAGAGATTTTTTTTGGTAAAAGGTGAAGTATTTATACCATTTTTTTTTTTTTTTTTTTTTTTTTTTTTTTTTTTTTTATACCAGCTTTCTAGAGATTTGCCTACAAAATATCTATTTGTAGCAATTTGATTATACTTTGGTTTAATAGACATGGTTTTAAATCGGACAACGGATGCGACTATGGTTCGACAGCATATAATTGTAAAGTTCCAAGTCTTTGTTTTATAATTTTCTTCAGCCTAGGACAAGTCTTTGGTAACGAATCCGATTTATAGTAAAAAAAAATAACAATAATAACTGAAGTTCCGATTTAAAGTATATTTTATAATAAAATAATAATTATAGTTCCGATTTTGTATAGCAAATCCAACACAAAATTTTCTTCACAAATTCACAATAGGTTTTGCTAGGGAATAAATGCACTACGAATTGTATGTGATTGTGTTGAACATTTTTTTGTAATTAATATAGTTGAATAATAAGTCGCACTTCTTCGTTTTATATTATTTTTAGTAGTTGGATTATGTTCGGTAAGTACTTTAACATGAAAAGAAATATTGTTTCTACAATATTCAATATTCAATTAGGAATATGATTATTGTTGCAAGAAAAATACTCTGCTAATTTGTCATGAGTGGCAAATCTTTAGCTAATGGTAACCTTAAGACAAGTTTAGCATTACATGATTCGCCTAAATTAAGCTATATGTAATACTAAATGATTTTACAAAATTATATACATGACTTTGAGTGATTCATTTTAAAATTTAGTTACAATTTAGACTAAACAATTAGTTTATGAAATTATTATTTTTCTTTAATTCAAGAAAAGCTGATTTCGAATATGGGGACACATTTTGTGTAAATGAGAAAGATGACAAACGATAATGAGGCGAAAGCAATATGAAATATGGAACACGGTTTCTCTTAAATTTGAGACAATGATTTATTCTACATTTGTTTTTTATGGAGTAGCTTTCTTTTTAAATTTATAATAATATTTTTGTAACACTTTTAATTCTTTCTAAATTTGGGTGGTTGCAACTTTCTGTGATGTCTTATTTTAATTGATTAGTTTACCGGAAAGAATTTTCCACTTAAATTGAGAACCGAGCAAAGGTGCCACCACTAGCTTTGCTTTGAAGAACTGAAACCAATAACGCGTTGACGTGAGCTTTTTTTTATAATTACACAAAACGATAGATTTGATCCAATTATATGTCTTTTGAATCTTGTGAAAATATTTATTTCTTTGTCAAATTAAATGAAACTCAAAATAGTATTGATAACTATAGGAATTTAATTTCCGTAGGACCATGTCTACGTTCATGAATCTCATCAACGGTTGTATCTCACAACATATTTAATATTCAAAATCCTTAACAAAAATAAATTGATTCTAAACCGGAATATTATTTTCTTGTACTAGCTAGTTTTAATCGAAATTTATTTATATAAATCATTCATTTTTTTGGTAGGCTTTATTTATCATTCATGTAACAATGTTTATGCTCTTGCTTTAGGATATTTAAATACTTCTCGTAATTTGTTTACCATCAAATCTTAAGAATTGATTCTCACAATTCCATTTTTTTTTTTTTTTTTGGAAGCTTTAAATGGAGTATGATTTATGGATAAAACACGGCAACATCATTTTACACCGAATGGAGAGCTGTAGAGAAAGCGAGTATAGTTTCAATTTGCAAATAAAATTTGGAATATATAATGTATCATCAACTTACTTTAGAGCTCAAATTTCGATGACACTTCAAACAAAATAAAACTATACTAATATAAGAAATAAATACGACAAATCATTTGTCAAAGGAGAAAATAAGAAAAGAGCTAGATAGTCCCATGCTTCTACGGTTCTAGTCCACTTGTCTTGTGAGTTGTGGTAACGGGACCAGACTATGTTATCATTAGACATCAAGTTATGATATGTTAACTCCATTAATTATAGTCACCATCAAGATAAGCTCAAATGATATATCTCTTTATAAATTATTGTTTCAATATAATATTATATTTATTTCGCAACAACAAAATATTGTTATGTACATCTAAGTGTGTAAAAATAAGCTAAAATATTGAAACATAAAAAAAAAGGGCAATACCAAAAGAACTTGGTAGTCTTTGTTATGTATTTTTCTTTGAGTATATATGCATTTAGGAATGAATTTGATATATCTTGGTGTTGTGTTCACATTTATTCAGAAGGAACCATTTGGGTATCAAACTATCAAATGAAGATGAACGATTATTCGTAATCATGTTACATATGACATGAGACGAGAGATTTTTCGCTGCTAAAATCAAACTCAAACTTGGACACAAAATAGAAAAATAAATTTATTTTTTATTTGTAGTTTACGGTTTATAAAACTAGCAAATCAATACAATAAAAATACTAAGGATCTTTCTCGGTCTAACACCTCAACATTATGAGATATTTTCAGCATGACACATCATTAAAATCGTTATCCAATGAAAACATTTCGATTAATATAACTCAAAATTTTTGGCCAATAATAATTCTTCTCTGTTCTATATCATTTTTTGTTAAGGCTTATCTCACTATTGTGGACTTATTGTTTGAAAAAAGTGGGCTTATTAAAAACTGTAGCCAATCAGCATTTCAATATTTAATAGCAAGTTCACTCTATAGCTTCAATATTTAATTGTAGGCTACATGAACGGCTAATGTTAGATTTTCGATAATTAAACATAAACAAAAGTAAATATTGAGACGAAGAAGAAAAACTAAAAAGAGTGTTCTATGTACTCAAATGAATAAATTAAGTGGTTTCACTTAAACTTTTCCTTATCCACTGTGTAACAAACTCCAACCATCTAAGTAACTTAGCAACTAATCTAAGATTCTTGAAGTTAATAGTGAAAAATATTTACATATATTACAATATAAAGACAAATCTAACATTTTTAAAGTTAAATATATACTAGAAACACAAAAATAAAACCAAACATATATAAAAAGTGACTATACGGTACATTTTTTGTTGTAAAAGTAAGATATAAAAAGGTATTTATTTATTTTTTTTTATTATTTTTTTTTTAAAAGGTATTTATTAATATCTACATATATAATATAATATAATAAGAACTATTAAAATACGAACAAAAGTAAAATACCAAATCTAAAAAACCTTTTAAATTTTAACCATTTATACTTTATTTTCAAACAAAATTAATTTACAAAACTACCCAGCGACATAAACCATTTGATGCATTCACCTCATGAATGTTGTTCACTAAAAACCATTTTATGTCAAACAACTTATTCAAAAATGAAAAAAAATTATAAAAAAATATGTGGTGTAGCGTTGGTTTGGACCTTCGATTCGCTCTCTAAATTAGAGGGATTGGGACTCATATCATTATCTATTGAGAACCTTGAAAGCTTGGTGTCTTCTCCACAGCAGAGGAGCTTAGCTTTTTAGTGCTGCATTCTCTAATAGCTTTACTTGTAGCCGTGGTAGTGATCCTTGATGACTTAGCTATTCTGACATTTCATGCACTTTTTCATGTTTTATTGATATTAGGTAGTTGTCGTATGCTATACGTTAATGACTAAAAAGGTTACAATTTTCGTTATGCTCATATATCTTTTATCTATTTTATCCATGTTACATAATGTGTTAAAATGCTTTATATAGTTTGATCAATTACAAAAAAAAAATGGCTTGGGAAGCCTCTTTATTTCGACTTCGCCGTTTCCGGGAGAATTATTTTGGTCATGATGCTTTTGGCTTGGATCTTGTCTTGCTGGTGTGGTTGCCTAGGAACTCTTTCATTGTGAGGTAGTCTCAATCCACTATAAGAGGAACCGCTTATCGTTGTCTCGCTTTGCTGCTTTGGTTTGCTTTGTGTAAGGCCTTCAGTCATGGTTTTGATTTGGTAGGTATGGATTTTGTGTTAGATTCCAGATTTAATTTGTTGAGTCTCTTGTTTTAGTTATAATTTATTCTCTGTTTGTTTCTCGCTGGCTTAGTTTCTGGGAGTTAAAGTTTCACTGTTTGTTTCTCGCTGGCTTAGTTTCTGGGGGTTAAAGTTCCGCCGGCCTTTGTATTCCGACAACGTATTCCACCCTTGTTATATAATCATTCAGACAAAAATCCTCTTTATTTAAACTTTAAAGGCATGTATAAATTTCTTTATCTACCTATTTGCAAAACCACCTAATTATCATGCTATGCGGTATTTGATAAGTGTAACCCACAAACATGAAAATGCTTAATGGACAAAATACCCATAGTTTAGGTACATGAGTGATGTTTGGGTAAGAAATATGTTACGAAAGAAAGTTAAAATAAAACAAAAAGTAATAATTTATTTTGAATCATGTCTATTTCTTAAGTACACAAAAAGGGTTAGTAACAAATACTGTGATTTATCTCTTTATCAAAAATGAAAAAAAAAACATATTGTGATTTCTTACATTTGCAAATGATGTCTAATAAAATATAATTAATTTATTATATCTTCGGCTTGTTTTTTACTTCATATATGTTTTTTTAAAAATTCAAGTTTGGATACTCTTTTGTTTATGTTACAAAAAAAAAGCAAGATAACTTTTATGTGTAAACCAACAATATAAATTTCATTGTGGATCTGGTAGTGCATAATCTTGATTTAAGCAAAAACCATTAGTAATAAAAATAATTTACAAAATATATCACGCGGCATAGCGGACTAAACCACCAAACTAAACGGAACAATCATTGTTAGTTACAGGATTCAATCGAATCTAAGAATATCTAGGAGGGTAAGTATATGCAGCTATCTCCTCAATAAAAAAGCGTAACTAAAAGAAGCGCATCAAGCCACCCACTGTTCCTGTTGGAGTTGTGAATATGTGGTAATATTCTCAGGAGAACTTTATACTATTATTGTCTCAGCATGCTTGAGTTTAAACCTAATTTGTCATTACAGGTACCATATTTGGTAGTTAAGAACAAGGGAGATCACAAACCTTTGAATGTAGGTGCTATGCTCTTGATCACTGAAACAAAAGCCCCATTGGGTCGTGTGGATGGGTACTTCTTTGGATCTGTAACGAATCCTCACTATATTGTGAGATTGGCGGATTCAGAGATGCAAGTCCCTCAAGGTATAGGTCTCTCGTTCATCGAGGAATTTACACAACATATTGAGGAAGAGGGTCTATACAAGAGATTTCATTATCCAACCGGATATGAGTATGACTTAATTGAAGAAGAAGGTGAGTGCGGCCCAATGGAAGTTTTGGGAAGGACTTCATATCATCCTAGTACTTCATAATTTTTTTTAAAACGGAGCCATCAATCAATATTATTCTCAAACAAAAAATGAGTATTTTTACATGTGAGCTATGAAATAAACAGTCATAATACATGAAATTTCTACATTAAATTTAACTTTCTACCTTGTTTTATATCTTAGGATAATTTATGTTCCAAAATTGTTCGAAAGAAATTCATTAACCAACAATAAAGAGGTATACTTTTTTGACAATATTGTTTTCATCACAAGTATATTTTGTTTATTTTAACGATATTAATATGTTGTATATTTTCTTTGCATCGTGTACTACCATACAAAAGGCCTAAAATGATTTGGGATCGAATTAGTATAGGTCCATTACAATGTTCTGTCTGACTCATTTGTTTTCCAACTCCCTCAAACATTTAATATATATGAAGATGAAGATATTGTTGATTAAGGGTATATCGTTGACCTCATGACTAGCATGATCATGATAATATTATGAAAAATGACACTGATTCTTGATTGTCTTCCTCATGGCAATAGTCCGATGCTACATCATCTAATCAAGGTAACTCCGATTACAAATTTTTTGGAGCAAACACCGCCCAAATGTTCAATAGGTTGATGATTTATTTAATGGATATCAAGGAGAAACTCATTATATGGATGGCCAATATATCCGTAATATATTAGCCACATAGTTTTCTAAAACACTATGTGGTTATTGGCTATATGTTGCTAATACGGATATTTTTCATCATTTCACAAACATCACTCCAATTTGCGTTGTATATGAGGATTTCTTACCTCAACAATTACTGGGTTTCATCAAATGCGACGATAGCCTTTTCTTTTATGAGATTAGATTTATTATGGTATTACCATGGTGCATGTGTTGTGGTCTATGAAGATCTATGGCGTATTGTGAAAACTTAATAAAACTCTTCAGATATTATTAGTATAGGCAGCGTTGTTGGGGGTAATTTGACAAACAAAAAACAAAAATTGACTCGAGCCAAAAAAATTGACGCGAGGGAAAAATAAAAAAATTAGGGTTACGGGAAAAAAAAATTAGACACACCTCCCATGATTCGAACTTGATTAGTGTCTCTAGTGAAATGTTTAAACTGCCACTGTACCACGGTGAAATTTGTTTTTTTAGCTTTAGTACGAAATATGTTTTGGCTCATTTGATGAATCCTAGTATCGTTACTTTGACGCCATGAATGCGACTAATTTAACATATTCTAATATTTATCTCATAAGAACTTTGTTCTTTAAAATTAAAAAGTAAAAAATATATCAAATTATAATATTAATATATATATATAATTTTTTTTTTCTTACCATATCTTTCTAGCATCATATACGAGATGGAAACAATATATATCTAGTCTCTCAGCTATACTAAGATTCAAAAATTTATTTTTCGAAAGGATTTAAAAGCTTATATTGAGAACGTATTTATTTTCGAATCTAACTGTTTATTATAAACATTTGCATAACATACTTGAATGTAATTGTATATTGCAAAAAAGACAAACAAAAATAAAGAATTTGACCAAAAGAAAAAAGAAGATGTGACATATTTACATGTGGATTAAGGAGACTTCAATACTTGGTGTCAGATTTTTTTAATGAAGGCATACTTTTCTTCTTGCTCCAAGGAGAAAATTCCACAAAATATGAATCCAAAATTATTTTTCATTGATGCAAAAGCATATTCATACAACAAGAAAAATTGTAGTCTTTGGCAACTAGTCTCATATATAAAATATCGATCTAAAGATTAGATTTGTAAAATGATGCTTTTTAGATATGAAGCAGACAAGAAAACCAAGGATATTAAGAAATACTTATCATCAGGAGCTAATTGAGTTTAACACAGTTGAGTTGCCTAAAGTGTTTCTGACTTGCTCGATTTTCCGCAACCGCCTTGTCGACGGCTTCTTTGCCTTGTTCGTCAGAAAAGATCGTAAAAAGATGAACTAGAGTGTCCATGATACAACCAAGGAGAGGAATACTTGAACATTTGGATGTAACTCGAGGATCTTGAGGATGATCCATATTTATTGATTGATCTCTTGAAAGATTGTAAGAGAGGATGGATAAAAGTAAAAGTAAAGAGAGGTAGTGGTGTATTTATCTAAATCCTAATGCAAAGAGTGAATCGATGTCCACATACTCTTTTGACGATTTGAAAAAGTAAGTTGATCTCAAAGAATAAAATGCTTTTGAGATAAAATGCCTTAGCTTTTTCATTTTTCTACGTGGAAACTTCAAACAAATAATGCATCCACTTAATATTTGTAGTGAAATATGGAAAGAGAAAGAAAGAAAAGCGAAACTAGTTAGGCAACAACTGCTTTTTCAATTTTAGTGTCCTCTATCGTCTGCATTATACTATAAGATTTATATTTCTCAATTGATGGATTATTGTTGAATTAATGCTTTTACGTGCCTTAGCTGATTAAAATATATGCAAGATAGAAATATAGATAATTGATAAATTTTCAATCTTTTCTACAGAAGAAATCCATTTTTTTCTTAAAGATACTATAAACTTTAAGGATCATAAATCATTTAGAAATAGTTACTCATTCTACTTTTTTTTTAATTGTTGTGGATCCAATTTTACAAATTGTAATTGTTGTAGATCAACAAAAACCACTTAGTGTAAAAACGCTCCCAGACCCAGTTATCGAGAAACCCTCGTTTAAGATGGATTCCGACGCCGGCGGAGGTGCAAATCGCCGGCGTCGGGACTTTGCTTCTCCGATCTACCTGTTTTGGTTACTATTCATGCTCTCTATGCTTTCAGCTTCACTCCTCACCTTGCAAACTTTGTCTCAACCTTCACAAATCCTCTTTCCCTCCTCATTCAACGGCGACCAATTCAGCGACGGTGGAAGATGCTGGGGTCCGGCGTTTGCCCTCCCACCTCACCCTCTGCTCGCAATAGATCCGTCAAAACCACCTTACTCCGGCGATGTAAACCTTAAAGCAAAATCTATGGCCATCGCTAAGCTTTACACCTCCAAACCTAGATCTGATTTGATTCCCCCAGAAGAACACTCACACCGGACTTCGTTGATGGCAGGAGAGCTTCCTCTTGGACCGTCAGATGCGCCATGTCCGTTGGAGTCGTCGACGGCGCACGGCGGTTCCTTCTTCTGGGTTGAGAAATCATGGCTTTCCGATCGCACTCTACTGGGAAAAATGGTGAGCCTTCTCACCTATCTTATCGGCTTATTCAGATCCGCTCTTAAGACCGCTCTGTCAAGATCTCTTTTCTCGTATCCGGTGACGGCCTCCATCTCCGATCATACGCCTCTGGCGATGTCAAGTCGGGATCGTGAGCAGCCGCTCAGTCCGTCGAAACAACGGCAAGCACAAGGCAAAACCCTAATTGTCAAGATGGGCCTTTTCTTTGTGATAGGCCTACCTTCTTCTGGCCCACTAAGCTATCTCCTACGGCCCAAGAGTATTTGTACATTCCCATCTTTGCATCTACTAGACCCAGGTCTGTCCCAATTATTTTTTTGTCAAGCCCTAATTTATTGATGTCTCTTTCCCCTGTTGAGAATGGCCGAGGACGCCACCCTCACATCGGATCGAAACCAATAATTAGGATCGACAAATACCATCCTTTAATCCTGATGGAAGATAAGTTTAGAGTTTTAGAGCAAATCTCTGAACCCTTTTATCCCTCTAAGAATCCTTTGTAACCATCCTCTTCAATAGAGAGAACTATTGCTAGACCTTCGACCTCTTTGCGGAGAAACCGTGTTGGTTTCCTAATCTTCTTTTTAGAAGCGACGTGCATTGAGTCGATATCACCCAAGGTCAAGGAATTTTTATCAACGTCACTAGCCCTTTATGGAAATGTGACCATTCAACAATGTCCCGAAATCCTCGTGGAATTGTCTTCGACTCACCACTATATCGTTTGTGGCAAGCTACTATATTGTTCTTGTCTCCGATGTTTGGACCTTTCGTCGAATTACTCTATCTATGTTATCTACCAATCGCTTTTAAGAGTACTAGTTGCTATCTTTGTTGTATCCAACGATGAGGTTGATGTTTACTTAACATTTGTACTTGCTATGGCTTGAATGAATGAAATATGTTTTGTCCAAAAAAAAAAAAGATATAGGTAGTTTTGGTTCATGTTCATTAAATTTTTAGTCTATAACACAAATTATAGTAGTACATTGTTGGTGATGGATCCCGCAAATCGGATCCAGCCCAGAAAAATAATGGAACGATGGAACGAAGTGGGGTGTTAGCCCGGTTCAAGGGACGGCCCAGTAAGTTTTGGCCCAGTAAGTTTTGGCCCAGCTCGAGTGAAACGTTGGGATCTCGCGAATTAAATGAAAGGCGGGTCGCACGGAATCTGCGAGATCGGCGAGATTCGAAACGGAAACAATAATGGAGGCAAGATCTGCGGCTTGATGAACGACTTTGGTTTCGAATCGTGTAATTATAAATAGAAAACGAAAACCATTGTAAAGGGGAGGGAATTCTTGAGCAATAAACAGATACATATACTTCACTCTTTTGATTTCTTTTTCACGATTGTTGTTCGAATTAGCAAGGCTAGACGACCCGACACACATCATAAAATTTGTATTGCGGATTCCGACATCCACAATTTGGCGCTAGAAGGAGGGGATTTCTAGTCTTTTACCCCAGAATATCAATCGAAAAGATGTCAGACGTGGCGGATCCGGCTTCAGTCCTCGACGAGATCAAGAAGTTGCTGAAAGATCTGTCCGAGAAGACCGACCAGCAGCAGCTCACCACCACTGCGTTGTCTGAGAAGCTTTCAGCGTTTGAAGAGCAAAACGGCAGCCAAATCGCAGTTCTCACAGCAAGTTGTTCCGAAATCAGGTCAGCCCATAATGCTTATGCGGATCGGGTTGATACAATTCTTGCAGGAACTTTGCGGACCAGCGGTCCTCGCGGCCATTTGGATTTTCATGGTCCGAACGTTTTGGAGGTTCAGGATCCTAGGCTCGTTTCCCCGAGCAACGTGCTCCCATCTTCTTTGCCTTTTGGCTCTCAGAGTGAGCCTGAAGATGGGTCCCGTCATACTCAAGCACCTCAAAACTCAGCCGGCGATCCCTTTGTTCCAGCCAGAACACCTCTCCCCATCCATCTTGGCAGCACCCCGCATCATCCTCAAACCGAGTCCCATCCACCTCACCTTCCGGTCAACCGGAAATCCAGAACTTGCAAAATCAGATTCGGGAAATGAGTTCGAAGGTTCATCAAGCCACCAGTTCGGCTCCCGAAGTCGATAGAGTGATCGAGGATACGAGAGGGACTCCTTTTACTCCACGAATTGTGGCCCTGCGAAGGTCAAACTTCCGGGGTACGATGGTAAGGGAGATCCCAAAGAATTTTTAGCGTCTTTTCAGGTCACCGTAGGTCGGGTACATTTGGAGCCAAACGAAGTAGACGCGGGCTTATGCAAGCTCTTCGCCGAGAACCTATCCAGGCCGGCTTTGACCTGGTTTACTCAACTAGAAGAAGGATCGATCGATAGCTTCAAGCAACTATCCACTGCTTTCATCATGCAGTACGGATACTATGCAGTACGGATACTTCATCAAGAGCGATGTAACTGATGCCCAGCTATGGAACCTCTCACAGGGAGCCGGAGAGCCGCTCCGGACTTACATCACCTCCTTTAAAGAGATTATGGTCCAGATCCCAAATTTGTCTGATTCCGCAGCTATTGCTGCACTCAAGAACGGTCTATGGCACGAACGCGGAAGAAGAGCGGGCTGCTCTAGCAAAAAAGTTCAAAGCAGCTCCGAAACCTGCTCAACTTCCTCCTCAGAAGAAACCTGTTCAACCCGAAACTCGGAAACCTGGAGCTGGCACATTCTCAGTGGATCGGGAGGAGCCAAAAGGTTCTCCGAAGAATTCACCTGCGAAGCAATCTTTCTCGCCAACGAACAAAAACGGCGCTTTCCCGAGTAACAAGTGGATTCGTGACCCAAACGCCTACTACGAGATCCACAAAGTCAATGGGCATGCTACGAAAGATTGCAAGGCTCTAGGAAGGTTACTGGCTGCCAAGTTTGCATCCGGTGAAATAACCGAAATCGACGTTTCGGAGCTCGAGCCAACTCATCCGTCGGAGCAAACAGTAGAACCAAAGGAACCGTCTCCTCCTAGCAAAAAAACCAAAAGGATCCAGTCCCCTGATGTTCCTAAAGGACCGAAGAAACGAATCCAGGTGATTATGGGGGGATCCAAGCTCTTTCGGGACTCCATTAGTGCAATCAAGCAACACGAACGGAGGGCAACCCCCCCGATAATCAAGAAGGCCAAACTTACTGAGGAACAATTACCCGAAGTAACATTCTCCGAAAGCGAAACAAGTCAACTTGACAAACCACACGATGATGCTCTGGTCATAACACTCGATATTGCGCATTGCGAAGTATCTCGGGTTCTCATTGATACTGGGAGTTCGGTGGATTTAAACTTCCTCGATACTCTGACAAGAATGGGGATATCGAAGCAAGATATAAAGGGGCCACCATCTCCTTTGGTTTCCTTTACTAGCGAAACTTCAATGTCACTAGGAACGATTGTGCTCCCGGTATCCGCAGAAGGCATAGTCAAAATGGTCGAGTTCACTGTGTTCGATCGTCCGGCTGCTTATAATGTTATCTTGGGAACACCCTGGATTTATGAGATGAAAGCAGTACCTTCAACGTATCATCAATGCTTGAAATTCCCTACGAAATCCGGAGTAAAGCAAATCCTGGGAAGTCAGCGAGCTGCGAGGATGTGTTACATGTCCAGTCATAAGCTTAAAATTCAATAGCAACCACAGCTCGAGGTGCCTGCAAATCCCGTCAAAAAGATAAGCAGTGACCTCGTGGAGGCAGTGGTAGTTAATGAGGAGTATCCGGATCAAACTGTGAGAATAGGATCGGGATTAAGCAAAACACTCCGAGTCGAACTGATAACTTTCCTAAAAAGGAATCAAAAAATTTTCGCCTGGAAAATCGAGGAGATGACTAGGATCGATACAAAAGTGATTTCACACGAGCTCAACATTGACCCGACTTTCAAACCAGTAAAACAAAAACGCAGGAAACTTGGTCCAGACCGAGCCGAGGCTGTAAATGCCGAAGTTCAGCGCCTGCTCGATGCGGGTTTGATTCGCGAGGTCAAATATCCGGACTGGTTGGCAAACCCTGTTGTAGTCAAGAAGAAAAATGGGAAATGGCGGGTTTGCGTAGATTTCACCGATCTTAATAAAGCCTGTCCCAAAGATAGTTTCCCACTTCCGCACATCGATCGACTTGTGGAGTCAACTACGGGCCACGAAATGATGTCCTTTATGGATGCTTTTTCCGGGTATAATCAGATTTTGATGAATCCGGAAGATCAGGAAAAACAGCTTTCATCACGGACCGTGGAACTTATTGTTATATAGTCATGCCTTTCGGGTTGAAAAATGCCGGAGCCACTTATCAACGGTTGGTGAATATGATGTTCAAAGATCTCCTCGGTAAAACGATAGAAGTGTATATTGACGATATGTTGGTGAAGTCAATATCAAGCACTTCGCATATTGAGCATCTAGAACAGTGCTTCGCAATTTTGAATAAGTTCGGAATGAAACTGAACCCAACCAAGTGCACTTTTGCAGTTCCGTCGAGAGAGTTTTTGGCTAATCTGCGACAGTTAAACGCTTTTCTGGCGATGACTTCGCCTCGCAACATCCGGGATGTTCAGCGACTCACGGGGCGGATAGCAGCTTTGAACCGTTTCATCTCGAAGTCAACCGATAGGTGCCTTCCATTCTATAATCTGCTTCGAAAAGCGAACAAGAATTTCATCTGGGATGAGAATTGCGAAAAGGCTTTCAAAGATCTAAAAGATTATTTGTCCAAACCTCCTGTGTTAGCGAAACCCGAGTTCGGAGAAGAGCTTTTCTTGTACGTATCGGTATCTGACAGCACAGTAAGAGGAGTGTTAGTTCGATTGGATCGGAACGACGAGAGACCGATTTTCGATGTAAGCAAGTCTTTTTCGGAAGCGGAGTCAAGATATCTGATGATGGAAAAGCTAGCTCTGGCAGTAATTACTTCGGCTCGGAAATTAAGACCGTATTTTCAATCTCATACGGTTATTATCCTAACTACGCAACCTTTAAGGGCAATTTTGCATAGTCCGAGTCAGTCAAGAAGATTGGTTAAATGGGCAATCGAGCTAAGCGAGTATGATATTCAGTTCCGAACAAGGATAAGCTTGAAATCTCAAGTCCTCGCAGATTTTCTGATCTAACTACCTCTGGTTTCCATGGAAGTCAAAGAAAATGAAGGACCTTGGATACTTCATGTGGATGGCGCATCCTCAAAACAAGGTTCCGGGATCGGTGTCCGATTACAATCCCCATATGGTGAAGTAATTGAACAGTCATTTCGTCTCGCATTTAATGCGTCGAATAACGAGGCGGAGTACGAGTCTCTCCTTGCAGGACTTCGTCTAGCGGTTGGGATAGGTATCACAAAACTACGGGCATTCTGCGACTCGCAGCTCGTTGCTAATCAATTTTCTGGTGATTATGAAGCAAAAGATTTCAGAATGGAAGCTTACCTCGCTCAGGTTCAGGAATTGAGTAAAAAGTTTCTTAGTTTCGAACTCACTAGAATTCCGCGAAGTGAGAACTCAGCAGCGGATGCTTTAGCGGCATTGGCGTCGAGTTCCGAAGTAACAGTGAGCCGAATGATCCCTGTCGAAGTAATTGAACATCCCAGCATAGCCACCGGAGAGCTGAATTTTGTGACTACACGGTCTATGCATAGAAGGATGAGTGTGGAGCAAGAACCACAAAGGGTCGAGGAAACTGAGCAGAACTCCGAAGTAGAATCACTAATCGGAACATCGCCAAATCCGGAACCACTGCAACCAGTGCTACCGCTTCCGGATTGGGGGGCAGACTGGCGGATACCCATCAGAGAATACATCTTTAATGGTATTCTCCCTGCGGATAAGTGGGAGGCACGGAGACTGAAAGCTAAAAGTGCTCGTTTCTGCATTTCGAGCAACATCCTCTACAGAAGAAGCATCTCGGATCCTGACATGATCTGTATTTT